AGTTTTTTTTTTTTTTTTTTTTTTAACCTTAATGTCTGGGCATGAATTTGGCCCATTCCAACTTCCTTAATCAGAAACATCTATTCCAACTAATGTTGCACGTTTTCTTTTCCTTTTCTGATCTAGAATAATTACAGCTTATCAAAATTGCATTGATATGTATATAGGTATTGCCCACTTGCATTATGTTTCTTCAAAAATAACTCGTGTGACAGAAATCCTCATTGATGTCAATCTCTAGGACAAAATCACATCAATAGGCAGCAGGAAGACCTTCATTGCCTTTGATGTTAGCTGTGAAATCATAAATGGGGAAAGGGTTGCATCTTTATGTTGCCAGAGGACAAGCTGACTAGGGAGTTCCTTGACGATTTGTTTTCATAGGCCATTGGAAGAGTTTGGAAGTGTTGCAAAACAGGCTAATAGAATTTGGAAGGTCTTTGCCCGTCTGAAAATTACAGCAGTCATTGAATCCCTGCTTATTTGTAAATTCCCATCTTGGGTCAACAGACTCGATACAGAGATAGTATCAGAATATGAGATAAAATGGTATGCCGTTTTATTAATAGACAAAATATATAATATATATGAGGATTGGGAATTAAATCAAGCACAAATTCAATGAAAAAGGGCATCAGTAGAAAAGAACTTCAAAAGTTATGACATGAGTCCTCTTGCCATGGCTGAATTAAAACCCCGAGAATGCTAAGTGCAATATGAGCAACATTTGTACAAAACATTAAGCCCATGTTTGGTATAGATTCCATAAAACTCGTTTTTAATTGCACATGCTCTCAATAAAATAATTTGGCACGTTGACCCATAACTTTTCCCTATTTTCAACTCACATTCCCACTTTTCACAAAATCTTGAAAAAATCAGCATAAAAAGGCCTAAGCGTGTAATCTGGCAGCCTGGCTTCAAGTGTTTATGGAACTGATTATTTTATGCAGCTGGATATTGGGCACTACTTCGACTTCCCTGTAAAGGAATTCTACAGCCACACACAAAGAAAATAGGTGTCTTGTCTTCCATCAACATAAAAAAAAGGTACGTATCTTTTTCCATACACGTGTTATGATATCATCGACTTATTTATTTCATTCCTCAGAGAGAAAAATCTCATATATAAAACCTAGTTCAAACAGTCACTGAAAAGAGATAGCTAGTCAAATACAGAGAATTAAAGATGGAAAGAAACGGTACCGAGAAAACGAAGATTTCCCCTAGCAGGTCCACAGCAGCCTGAACAGCTTTCTCTTCATTCAATGGTCGAATTTCAACATCAGTAGCATGACCATATATGCGTCGTTGCACGGTTGTTGTCATCCTATGATTTGCCTGATTTCAATAGACAATTAAAGGACAAAAAGTATTAGGAATGAATTCAATTACTCAAATACAAGAACAAGGCGTGAAGATGACATTCATTGGGAACAAATCCAGCATTTGCATTAGAAAATACGACAGAAAGTTAGAGACTGACAGTGAATATAATTAGAAACATTGACATATAGGCACTTAGCACGTGGTTAAGCCCTTAGGTTGGAAAGAATTAATAAAATGTGTAATTTATAAATAGATAGAAATTAGTAGTGTATAATTGGAAAGACTTGTAGGTCCATAGCAATGAGGTTGAAAATAGTTCGATCATTTATAAATGATTTATAAATTTTGATTAATGGAGGCTAAATTAGACAAAGAAGCAGAAATAGTAGATTTTAAGAGAAAAGGCAACATCCAAATGTATGTAATGACAAAGATGAAGATTTAGGAGGCTATACCAGTTGACATGTGCCGGAAATAGAAACGAAAATGAAAATCGCTCAATAAAACCAAGGAACCCCTCAAGGAAGATATCATCATGAGATGAAGATCATAGCATTTTCAAACAGAGATGTTGACAGAACTTTCTAATGTGAAACTCAACTTCAGTTCTTCATAGTAATTCTATGAAAGGAATAGCGTTTGCTTCTATGCGTCAACCAGATCTTGTTTACTTGTTATATACTATTTGGCATTATTTGATCTGATACAACATGTAGCCAACAAATAAAAATCTAAATGAAGTAATTCACCAAGTACATATCAAACCTTCAGGAATTGCACATGTGTGGGTGATAACAAACTGTGTAAATAGTAGAATTGAAGATCAACGAATGTCCTCGTGCCTTTGCTTTCCATTGCCACCTTTTGATCCACAAATAGTTGCTCCAAACCCCTCTCCATCCTGCCTATCCCAACAACTGACACGTAGGTTTTAAATCTCTATAGTTACAAAGGATTTAACTAGACCACAACACCTTGGGGTTAATCTCCATTTGCTAATGTATTACAAATACAGTAATACACAGAAAGTTTCGATGGCAATTTTAACTTAACATGGCACAAGTACATACATAATCTACACTCCATATTCCACCCTATTATCATCTGAAAAAAGCAGCTGACAGCAATAGGCATGATATATGTTTTCTATGTCCAAGTTTTAGCAATCCCTTCCCACCACCCATTCCACTGTGATCTTTTTCACTGCATAAGCAGGCATTAGCCGCACACGAAGAATTGAAAAGGCTCCAAGTAACAAAATGAGAAAATACCTACATCTGAAGAAGAAATAAAAGCACAATGCACAAAATATATTCACCCATAATAGACAGTGTCAGCAATAATATTGGGAAAAAGTGAATTTTGAATGCATCAAACAAAAGGGAAGCTTTTTAACCAGAAAGGAACAAAAATGGGCATGATTGACCGTCGATATTTAACCACACATATAACAGTACATTGATTCTGCAATAATCATATGCTAATGAAGCATCATCCGTTTCAATTTTGGAATCCATACAACCATCAAACAACCAAACCATTTTCAAATATGAATAATCGAACGACACCCTCCAATTTAAAAGATAATAACAACAAAACCTGAGCCATGCTGATGATGAGATTACGAAATTTTGGGTGTAGTCCAGCTTCTTTCTTCAGCCTAGCAGCAATGGGCTTGCTCAGAGTCTTCAATGCAAGCGTCCCGAGCTTCAATAAAGGGAGGACCATTACTGATCACTCTTTTTCCCTTTCTTTCTTGATCTTGTTGTTATATTGGTCCTTTAATATGTACAATTCAAAAAAAAAGAAGTGCTAATATATTTGAATTTTGTGTGTGTTTGGGGAAGATAGAAACGAGTGGTTTGACCAATTGAGAGGGGTTGAATTTCTTGAAAAGGAAGGCAGATGCGTGCAACCTAGGTTAAGATTTGAGGAATGGAAAATATTCGTATTATATTGAGATAATATCATAATCCCCGCAGAAATATGTCTCACATTTAAAAACTCTTAATTAATGTGTATTCTTAATCATTTTTGAGTTAAATATTATGAAAAAATAAAAGATTATTATATATAATTAATTGCAACTAATTTGTTTCATTTAATAATAAATTAATATTTAAAGACATTCATATTGTCCATGTTTCGCTTTTGATCATAATTTGTTTACAAATTGTCAAACCACTTGATACAGTGGGTTTTGGGTGTGCTCGAACATATTATCCCAAGGACATTTCTCAGGATCCCATGCAATCCCACATCTGTAGTGCTCGAGCATATAATCCCCGAGATATAATGCTCGAGCACTTCCATCCCTGCTGTTTTTATATTTTTATGATCCATGTCCTCGAGCATGAGTAGTCCTCGAGTATAGATTCTTTTCGCAGCCTATGATTGTTATTATTGACCCTATAGGATTTCTATATAATTAGGACTCTAACTCTACCATATTACTTCAATACTTGACTCCCGCAAGGACTCTATCCCAAAAATGATTATGGCATTGGTCCAACTTCTTCATTAAATAGGATTCTATTGGATAAGAGCATCCAACTAATTCAATCCTACCAGGAGAACGCCACCTACCACTATAAATACAGAACCATGGGTCATTATTCAGGTACGTTTTCGTTATTTCCAGTTTATAGTCTTACGTACATAATTTCCTTTCTGACTTAAGCATCGGAAGGGCGACGAGAGCATACCTCGTT